TCTCATCACTTTACAGGAAAGTTTAAGGATTTCCCTAAAAATAGTTCACCCTTTTCTAGTTTTGCATACTAGGTCCTTGATCCAATACCTGGTTGTTAGTTAAGTGCTTATCATAAACTGAGGTAGACTAAGTTTGTGGCAAATTGTGTATTCAACAGACTTTATTCAATTCTTATCATTTTGACACATTAAAAACAACAATAACAACAACTATCATCACCACCAAAAAGAAAACTATTAGCCAAGCTCAAAGCAGCAGCAAGCTCTGTAAGGCAAGAAAAGCTCTACAACTTTCAGGAACCATGTTATATATATTCTGGAGACTCCCTTGTGACAGTGTAGAAACTGTCATTGAGGGAATGGTGATTGAAATCAATGCAACTATTAAAATATTTAATGCACAGTTTATAATAATAAAATGGACTATTGTTACTATGGTTATGACCTGCCCAAGACCATACCAGATGGCACATTAACACAAATGAGAAAAGGTTTTTAAGGCCACCCCCTACTAGAAGAGCTATAGGCAGTCAATGCTTCTGAGGGAAGGAAAGCCAGTTTTCTCAGGAACCCTGGTAGGTTTCCTAAGTGGTCAACCCTAAACATATGTACACAGTAACAATATTTAGACTCAGGTTCTGTGTGCATGTGTGTATATACACATGTAAGTATATATAAAACAATAATTATAGAAGAAAAGTATGAATTTGCGAAGGTGTGACTGAGTAAAATGAGAGGAGTTGGAGGGGATAGGGAGGAGTAAAATATTTAAATATAGTGTACTTATATACAAAATTCTCAAAAAAATGGTTCATGAATAAAAATAAAACCAGGATTAACTGTTTAAGTTTTGTTTTCTCTCTCTCTCTCGAGCAGCATTTCAAATTGAACCTTGGGCTTCATTCATGGGAGTCAAGTTCTCTACTAGTAAGCTACAACTACAGCCCAAATTCCCATTTGTTACTACATTCTTGATTGAGGGATTAGTTCTTTAAGGTAAGAATACCTGTAATCTATTGATTGTCTATTACATGTTAAGCATTGGTAACAACTATCTCTCATCCTGAAAAACAATATTGACAATATTGAATTCTCCCTTTAAGACTCTGGAAACAGAGCCTTGGGGTGCTGGTGCTTACCTTTAATCCCAACACTCAGGAGGCAGAGGCAGGCAGATCCCTGTGAGTTCAAGGCCAGCCTTATCTACAGAGCTAGCTCCGGGACAGTTAGGGCTGTTACACAGAGAAACCCTGCCTCAAAAATAAATAAATAAATAAATAAATAAATCTGAAAACAGAGGCTGGGGGTGGAGACTTTAAGCAACTGGAGGAAAAGCAAAGAATATCACATAGAGAACTAAGTACTGCCTTTTGTTTTTAAATTCCAATTTCAGCTTTTCTTTCTTTCTTTCTTTCTTTTTTTTTTTTTTTTTTTTTTTTTTTTTTTTTATGTTTGTGCTCTGTCTTCATGTACACCTGCACACCAGAAGAGGGCATCAGATCCCATTATAGATGGTTGTGAGCCACTACGTAGGTGCTGGCAATTGAACTCCCTGGAAGAGCAGCCAGTGCTCTTAACTGATGAGCCAATGCAACTGCCCCAGAGAACTGAGTATTGTAAAATCCCACAAGGGAGCTAGGGAATTTTAGCAGTAGTTTACCTAACATTCATCAGGTCCTGTGTTCAATTCTCACGCCATTTTGTATTTTGAATAAAAATTGTATTGCCCTCCTACTTTAAATTCGCATATAAATATGACTGGGTGTATCTAGTCTGTGCTTAGCATTTAACTAAAAATAAGATACATTTTCTTATGGAGTCTGTCAGGAAATAAGAAAGACAACAAAATAAGATTCAATTATAAACTAGTTCCATATTTACTTATCACATATGAGCTATTATATGTGCAGACATATTAGATACAAAACAGGCTTGCTAAGCTTGGCAAGAATAGAAAATTAGTTTAAAAGTGAAGGGATATACCATAAATGCAGCATGAAATGGAGGCAATCTCTCTGTATTTTTGTTAGAGGAAAATTTTGGACCTGAAGTAAATATGTATTTATAACTGACTTTGTAACTGGAGATAAAATTTATAAATGGCAGAATGTATAAGTTTCCTATAAATTTTTATGAATTCTGGTACTTTTAAAATTATAGACATGGTGAAATGTCTTATTGTGACTGACAGAATAATACTGCTACAATAATAATTTCCTGTCAACTTGTTCCCTCCTGAAATGCCTTAAGCACTTCAGTTTAGGAGACAAATTAAAATATGTAATGAAGAAAGAAATTGATCTGCATGGCCCCATTTTTATAGCAAGAGCTACAGAATGGAGCCCTAATTAGGTGTGGGCAATATTTGTTTGTATAAACATTGTTTGAAATGTTGTAACTATGCCATGTGTCTTGCATTAATGTTTTTCTGTAGGTAATGCTCAATGTGTTAAATTAAAACTCAACAAATTCTTCCCCAACTTTTTCTCCTTGCCATTCCCTTCCTGTGTTAATCTTCTAGAGCAGTGGTTCTCAACCTTTCTAATGCTGTGACCCTTTAATATAGTTCTTCATGTTGTTGTGACACCTAACAATAAAATTATTTTTGTTGCTACTTCATAACTGTAATTTTGGTATTGTTAGGAATGGTAATTCAAATGTCTCATGTATGATCCTTCTGTAAAGGCTCATTCAACCCCCAAAGTGCTCATGATCTACAGGTTGAGGAACCACTGTTCTAGAGGAACAGTCAGTCACTCCGCAGTTGGGCTTCTGTCTTCAAGACCTTATGGGATTCTTGAAAACAGTTTCCTGGCTGTGATGTCCTATGACTTTGTTTTCTTAAGCACAGCATGGGATAGTCTCCCTTTTTAAAAAGCCTTCCTCTTCATTTTGTTTGATGACATTTTTTTTTTTTTTTTTTTTTTTTTTGTGGTCTCTTGGTCTTTCCAGTACTATAAATATTTCTAACAGTGTCTTTCGCATTGCCAGCTTTTCCTTCTCTGTGTTAATCTCTAGATAACAATACTTGAATATTGTTGATTCCCAACAATGTCTACCTATAAAATAACAGTGCCATAAATAATAGGTGTTTGGGCTTTCCTTTCAACCAAATCAGGCTCTTTAGGTCTACAACACTAGAAGATGTTGTTTGTTTGTTTAGTTTTGCAAGACGGGTTGCTCTGTGCAGCCCTAGCTGTTCTGGAACTCAGGGGCTGGCATCAAACTCTCAGAGATCTGCCTGCCTCTGCCTCCCAAATGCTGGGATTAAAGGTAGCTCAGGTAATTCTGGCATATAGCCATGGGACAATAGGTATTACTCTCAGTGGTCTACATTTGTCCTTACCTACTTTCTTCATGGCAATTTCATAGACTTTGCAACTATATTTTATCATCAAGGTCATCTTATAATAACCCAGTACTTCTGGGTTAAGGAAAAAAAACAAAAAAACAACACCTTTCTACCACAAAATTTGGAAAAGATCAAACAGCAGAGGGGTTCTTACCAAAAGACTTGTCAAAGTCATGTGCATGCTTCATACCTCAATAGTACTTGTCAGAGTTCTCTTTGTTCAATAGAATGTGCTGTTCTTATTAATCCTACTTGCTACACATCACTGACAAGTTGGTGCAAAGCATTCTTATATTTAAAACCCTTTGATTCTCTTTGGATTGCAAAGCATTTAAGGCCTTATTGCATTGTTAGTAATTAATTCACAGAATTATACACACCTACCAGGCAAGAGCACTACCAATGAACTACATCCCCAGTCCCATTAAAGTCGTGTACAATTTGTCTAGAATCTTTGTCACATTTCCCTTTCTACTACAGGATGAAGGTGTACCCTCTAAAGTCATACATATTTGGTTTGGAATGTTTAGGCATGATAAGTAATTTAGATACTGTAAGTCTAATTTGCTGATAAATGAAAAAAGATCCTGCGGCTTCCATCTGAAAGGGCTGCATAGAAAAGTACATACTAGTCCTCTTTATATTTTATGTAACCTACAGAAAACAACTGTCTTAAGATTTCAATATAGATCATTGTCAAATAAACAATTCTTATGAATGAATGTCTAAGCTGTGCCTTGAATTTGTGGCATTCTAAAATTACTACCTATTATGGTAGTTAGTAGCCACATGTGCTACTGAGCACTAAAACAGAGCAATTCCACAAATTCCACATTCCAAAATCTCATTGTCACAAGAATAATGCTAATGTCTTATTGGTAACTTTTAAAACTAGACTACATGTTGGAATGTTATTTTATATGTATTAGTGAAACACGAAGACGTTAAAAATAACATGTAGTTTGCATTGTATTGCCACTGAAAACACTGCTAGAAAAAAAACCATTTTCAACAACTTCTCTTGTCTAGTAACTCTGAGATCTGTTTTTGATACACAATAGCTGAAACTCGAAGCTCTTGAAGATTTTGTCTTTTTTGAGTCTTTTCCTCCTCAAATGCAGTGAATATTCTGGGCACTTAACTACAGTGACTGAATTTGAGTCACTCTAAACTTTAGGGCATCAGCTTCACTTGAATAAAATGTTTTCCTCAGTTCCTAAAGAATTATGTTTGAATTACATTTTTTGAATGGAGCACAGAACTGAAAAGTGTACCCTTGAATTGTTATAAAACCAAAAGAATAGATTTTTATCTTCTAGAAGAATTGAGTTTTCCTAGGTTATTTTCATATAAAAATAAGCTATTTGATTACAATTCCAGAAATGGTGAATGCTATCATACTTGAGTTCTTTGAGAACTCACAATCAACACTAAGCTGGTAACACTAATTTTTAACCTGTAGCACTTTAAGGAGTATCTAAAAAAGAAGTATTTATTCAAGGATAGAAAACAAATGTTTTCTAAAAGAGACATTTAGTATTATTAGTTTTAATGACTATGAACAGAAAAACAGACAAAGAACTGGAAATTTTCAAAGATTTAGGAATAGCTTCAATAAAGATTAAAAAAAAAAAAAAAAAACACTTACCTCATTGCCACATTGCTACCATCAATAACTACTGGTCTCAGATTTTCACCATCATCTGTTACAATTTCTTGCATTGGAGACTCAGACCTCTGAGATTCCAGCGATGATGTTTCCCGCATTACACTGTTTATAGTACTAACTGTTTGATCAGCTTCACTTTTGTTTCCAAGTTTGACAAGTTCTCCCAATATATCATTGATTAAAGCATCAGTACCAAGTTTGTTTAGCACAAGCTGGACCTGCTCTTCAGAATAACCTAACTTCAGTGCAAACTCCAGTTTTGTTTGGTATTCACGAACCACATCAGGGGGTTTCTTCACTTCCTTGGATGGGGTCTGGGACCCATCTGGTTTAAAGTCTTGCAAAATGTCACTATGTTTAAGCAGGTGAGGCTCTAAGCAGGGAGACCGACATAACTGCCTGTGAGTCTTGGTTAATAAGCATGGCTCTACTGAAAGGCTACTCAGTTGTCCTGACTCATGATCAGAATTTGTGCTTTCTTCAGAGTCCCCAGAGCTCACACTCTCTTCAGACACCTCTTTTTCTTCCTTCCCTGAATTGACTGTATCCATTGTTGGGTTCTCTCCCATAGGCCAAGGCACAGCTGCACTTATCTGCGGGTCAGTGCTCTCCATACAAAGGTGGCCAAGGTCATGCCCCAGGTGATCCTTCAAGCCCATGAAGCTGTTCCGGACACTTGACTCCACTTTGCTGCTTTTCCTGTATTCTTGAATGCAGAGTACCCCGTATTCCTAGAGAAAATGGTAAAGTATTTAATAGATCATATTTTTTGTTTGAATCTTCCCTTAGCAAACAAGCCAGAAATGCCGAACTATTGACTACCTACTTTGTATTTTGTCTGAAGCCTCTCATCACCCACAGCAAACTTGCCAAGACTCCTTTACATGAATCCCTCCAAGGCAGCAAAGTAAACGTTAAATCACACTGGGCTTTACAAAGGTTTGCCCCCCCCCCCCACCTTTGTGCTGATGTGTAGGTGTCTAACAATTAAAGAAAAAGAGATCATGAATTTCAAAGGGGAATACATGAAGAGAGTTGGAGGAAGGAGAGGGAGAGAGTAAATTATCTAAAGACAGTACTCATATGTGAAAGTTTTAAAAATTAAATGTAGGTATTGAAATGAAGGGGCACATATTCTAAACTGGTCAGTAAGGAATTGAATAATCACAAAGCTAATTACAGCTCTGCCCAAGCTGCTGTATGCCTGTGATACCAGTGACTGGGACACTGAGAAATGAAGATGGTGTATTTGGGATAAGTTTGGGCTACAACATAGTGAGTTCCAATCCAGCCTGTGTTACAGAGAGACACTGTCTCAAGAAGAAGAAGAAAGGAGGAGGAGGAGGAGGAAGAGCTAATTACCTTACACTTTGAGATAAATATATTTTTCATTATTAATTATGACTTCATGAATACTGAACATTGTAGCAGAAGATACTTTTAAGTATTATGGTTCTTTATTAAATGGCAGAGACACTGTAGTCTATTTCATTCAAGAAAAGAAGTTTTTTTCTATATATATATTTGTTGAGAGCAGTGAAATTAAATATTTTACATAAAATCTGAAGCAAACACACTATCATATCAGTTTCTTGATTTGGTAAAAAAGTATTTTTGTATTGCATCAGATTAATTAACAACTACCTGCATTTTGTTAAAAACTCACTTTTTCTCCATTTTCCCTGTAGAAATATTTTTACTGTTTAAAAAATGTTTTTTGCTACACTACTTTTCCTTAAGACCTGTTGGAAATAACTTATTCCTCTACTAGAAATAAGTCAGAAAAGTAAGGTTACATTTTCTTTATACTTCATGAGGACTATATCAACAACAGGAGTTTACTGATTAAGGTAACTCTGCTGTTCTACCATCAATTAGAAAGTCATGGGTAGCTAAACCTGAGGTTGTCATAAAAAAAAAAAAAAGAAAGAAAAAACTCCATTTGATTAATGAGAAAATTGGAGAAACATTTTCTTTTAATCAGAAGCAGTTCAACAAAATACATATACCAGAAGAAATTTTAAAAAGGCTTATTTTTTGATAAATTTTAAAGTTCATCCAATAAACCCACTCAGTATCAAATATTTCTATACAGGTTAATGAATTTTATTAACTATGGTAAATATTCAATTTTAGAAATATAAAATTTCAGTATTTCCTTGGGGTAGAAGTCCTACACGTTTCTATAGGACTTTCTTTGGGGTTTGTTCTTTGCTAATAACTTGAATACAACTGTTCAACTAATACAACACTCACTAAAGAAGCACCAATTTTCCTAGTTCCTGGATACCCCACTGATAAAGAGCATCTGCTTCATTGTGAAGCTGTGTCCATTTCAACTTTTTCTATTAATATGGATATGCATGGTCCAATTACTTAGAATTAAGGAAGGGATTTTGAAAGTAAATCTGTATACCCTGTGATTTATTAACTACAGTAATGTACTAACACCATAATGCAAGAAACAAATCACAACAGCATCCCAATAATGGGATAAAGTTAAAAGAAAAATCTACACCGTGGCCTTAGTAGAGCTCCCACCAAAAGTATCTTAAACAAGGAAAATCTATTGGAAGCTGAGCTGCCTGGCAACCAGAAGATGGTTGCTAAGCTGCACTCCTTTAACATGCCATCATGAATGCTAGCACAGTGAAAGAATAATTTGGTATGAACAAAAGCCTATAAAAGAGACTGGGACTTAAGTGCGTCTGGTTTACCCTCAGAGAACAATGAAGCTGCCAAACCAATCTGGAAGCTCCGACATCATTGTTCTGTAAACCCCACAATCTGTTCTGACTGCAGGAAGTGCATTTAATGGGAAACATTTTTGATCTCCCCTGAAAAGTTTTGGTTTTGCATAAGTGCTGTTGTGAGATAATTCAAGATAATGACTTGCTGACCAAATTGCTGAGTTGAACTAGGGAATATTATTTTAATATTGAGCAGTTTTGTTGTGGTTTTGAGCTAGAGCACCTATATTGGACGTGGCAAATACACAGCAAATACAGACCGTGTAAAACATTAGGATGAAAATTTCTGACTGAAGGATATATGGATTTTATTAATTTTTACTTTTCAAAGTGACAAACTCAGACACTACAAAGTTTTGAAACAGAAAGTCAGACCACTCTAAAACTGCATTTCAATTAATCCTTCTATATTTCACCTTCAATTAGTATTTGAGAAAGTACTAGTGGTTGTTTTCCAATCTGTTCTCCTACGTACTCTATTTATCACATGGTTACAGTGACAAGAAGAAATGGATGTTTTGTTGTTTTTATAATATTAAGTGATTTAATAGTTCTTTCTAGTAATGAAGTTAGAAAATACTAATATTTTCAACTTGAAACAATTCATATACATAGTATTTAATAACATTTTATAGTATTTTTCAATAATATACAATAATGTTTCTCAATGTTAAAAGTAAATGGTCTGTGTTTTAAATTAACATTTGAAATAACCTGATTTATACTGACTGAAATGGTAAAGATTTGGAATTTAAAGCTTCAATCTTATGCTTTGATCAAGTTGTAGCCAGTAAAAAGTTGCCCTGACTTACTATGGCATTTAAAAACAATCCAGAATTTGACACTATCTTAAAATTACTAAATAAAAATTTAAGTATTAAAAGAGATACAAATTGTAGTAGAAGATGCAAAGCTTACAAGGAGCTAACACACAAAACTTTACAGAATAAAGAACAGCATGGTGTTTACTTCTGTTTAGCCTCTCTCTTAATGACTAAGTTTTCAAAAGAAAAAAACACTTAACACAATGTGTTACTTATCATTTGTAATGAATAATATATTTTTCTTAATTTCTAAACCATGACAGCTTTGACTTTTAAGTTTTGCATTATTCAGTCAAACCCAAGCTTGTGTAAATATTCGTAATACTCAAACAAATATTCCACTGGTAAAGGTAACTTTTCTCTGTTCATGCAGAAGCAGGGTCAAAGCTTTGTTCACACACACAGGCAGACCAGTTTGTACTCCCAGAGTTGCTGGGAAACTCTGAGCAGAAATTGTAAACTTTGTATCACAGAGCCATTATATGTGGCATTTACACACTATATTCTTGAACACAAAAGGTATTAGGCAAAAATACAATAATCTAAAAGACCTTTCCACTTTCAAAAATCCACTGATTACCTCTACATAGTATATCAGAAACTCACTTTTTTCTTGATAAAGACATTTAAAAATTAACAATATTTGTTGAAAAAGAATGAATTATGCTAATTTTGTAGATAATGAAGGAAAACTCATTCTTTTGTCAAAAAAATAACTGTAGTGGCTAAAAGCAGGTTTAGGACTTAAAGGGTACTGACCTGAAATTTACACATATACTGGAATTCCTCTAGTGAACGGATTGAAAGTTCTCAATAGATAACTTGTATAAGAACTCAACTCAAACCAGGTAAAGCTAGTTTTTAGCATTCTAACAGCATTACAGTTAGCAAGAATATCAGGCCATAAACTTGTTACCTCAAATTATTTGTAAAGTTACAATGCCATGAAAGTAGGTTTTGGTTGTTATCCAAATGGCTCTACTATGAGAACAATGAAAATAAAATAATGAATATGTAATAAACACCTCCTGCTATGGTCTTTGCGCATTTAATTACCATTGTATTTGAGTGAGCACTGTTGTCTGCATCCCTCTAGCTAACAAAGGAAGGATGTCCCTTTGAACAGATTGGTTAATGTTCTAGGGCAACAGATGTCTACTGGAACTGCAGGAGACCAGCAACTGGTGGCCTGCCTATCTTCTGAAAACTTTCAATAGACTTATGCATATGCTCACACAATAGGGCATGTGGTAGAAATGAAAACCTCCCTTTAACCCTTTATGTTCTTCCCTCTACCCCCAAACTGACAGATGAAAGTCTTTGTCTACTCCTCACTTCCCCATTACAGAACTCTTGAAAGTAACTGGAATGGCATTTTCAATTTAATATCTGAAAATAGCACAAGAGAAGACGTAGGAGAGAGGAAATAAATTCTACATGAATACTGAAATTGTTGACAAGGCAACTGAATGCTTAATCATCATTTTTAAAACCAGCTATTGGAAACATTTATCAGTATCAATCTATCTCTGCAAACTAGACTCTTTTAACACAATAGAAAAATCTACTGAATCTGACCAGAATTTCACAGGAACTAGCTATAGCAGTGATACCTTAAGAAACATAGGCATTTGACAAGATAAAATCTAAATGTGTTATTTAGCATGATATTAGAACTTCCTTATAACTTGTCTTAGGCTCCAAATGATTGTGTGTAATGTCCATTGGCTTGAAAGCATTCATGAATCTACAAGTAATTATTTGCAAAATCTCCAAACATAAAAATATAAGACTCGGCTTCACAGATATATTTTTACAGCAAGCAACAGATTCTCCGGTATACTGGCACTAACACATTTGCAGGTTTTCTTTTGTGGTGCTTCCTATCCTTCACAGAGATGAAATTATAGCCCTTACAGCAAAGTTTAACTTCCAAAAGCACTAAGTAGCATGAATACTTACGTTTTCAGGAAAGTACAAAGACATTGGTTTCTGTGGCAGCTTCAGCAGTAACAACACAATTTTAGCTGCAGACTTCCAGGCAGGCAAGAGGAACAATGAGTGGTTGAACAGATGGAATGGCAATGTCTTTGCTTAACCTATTACTGAGTTGGAACTACAACCAATCACAGGCCAGAGAGCTCACAATTAGTCAGT